TCAGCCTAGAGCTGAACTTCAGGCAAACAGCTAAACACAGAGTTGAAATACATATATAAAAGCACATCAAGCCCAGAGACATGACATTTCTCTACTGCAGATAAGTCACACAAGTAAGTCTTGTCTCTGTGATTGAAAAGTGAAAGAGAAGAAACAGACTGATGAGATTGTTTCTCTTTCACTCTACTCTCTCCTCTTATCAGCATGCTCCTTGCCAGCACATGAGCACTGTAGCAGAACTGATTGGGTACTTCTCTCTTTTCCATTCTGGGAACTGCTGTACAGAGGATTGCAAGAAGTTCATAAAGAGTAATTTTCGGATACTTACACTTGTTGCTTTTAAAATTATACTTAATTATTTTTAATTAACACACACATGCCTAAATTGGTGTTTTTAAAGTTTGCCTGGAGTTTAGCTTCAAAATAAATATTATCAATGGGTGCTTACATTTTAAAATACTTTTTTTGTGAAACATTTTTATTGATAAGTATGAAGGGATAGATAAATTAGGTTATTGTATATGATAGCACTCCTTTCTGGTTATTAGTGCTGCACTACAGTTTTGCCTTGTTGATCTTCTAATTTCACCAGATTACTTGTGTATCACAAGTACTCACCAGGAGTACTTGTGATCTGTAATGAAAGACCCACATTGGTCCTGGTAGCCAGAGACCATTAGATCCTTGCCTAGCCATTAAGTCACATGAGATAATTTGGGCACAGCAAATATACTTTAGTTATACTGTGATAATATTATTAAAGTATAACTAAACCCTTCCAAAAATCTCCATGAGGTGGATAAATGTTTTTATTTTTCAAATACTCTTTAGTAAACAATCCTTTTCTTTTTTTAAACACTGTGTAAATGTGGTATGCACATTTACTTTGCTCCATTACTCCCTCTGGCATCTATGTGCACCTGTTCCATAGACATGGGTGCACTTCTCTTGTTGATGACATACCTGCTTCAGTGAAAAACGTACCTGAAAATACCTGAAGTGGGAGCCTCCTTTTCAATTGGGATAAGTGGTACTGAAGCTGAACATAGGCAGGCCCCAACTGGGTGCCTAAGAAGCAGTATGGTCGTGCTCAGAAAACATGCTTGAGAAGTTATGTCATCCTGTGATAGGACATTGAGTATCTAGCAGAATCACCAGGTTAAAAACAAAGGGGAATAAAAAGAACAGCATTGAAGAAGTGAAGGGTAAGCTTTAATTTTATGATTTTTACATTTAGATACAATTTAATGGAAATACGGGAATTTTTTTTAACTCAAAGCAATAATTGAAGTGATTTGGTCATGCTCATGTGTCTCAAAAATCATGTTAAGTGTGGGTTTTAATAATAGGTCTGCTTTATTTTATTTTCTGTGTTCAGGTGACTATAGATTTTATTTGGACACATCGTTTTAATAATTTGCATCTATGTGTACAATATTTGACTTAACAGAGTTTGTTTTATTTAGAGATGTCTAAATACAGCCCCACTTTGAAGATATTTTACAGAAAATCCATTAAAATAGTTTTGGACTTGGCATTTTATGACTCTCTTTTTAAAAAAAATTGCTACTTCTTTTGCAAAACAACCCAGCTCTATGGCTAAATTCTAATATTCCCTTAGTCAATTATTAGGTTAAGTTGGTTATTCGAATTTAAAGGATAAGTGAATCCAGCTGGCATGTTTTGAGACTGAGATCGCAGAAGAATGTTTTGCTTTATGGACATCACCTCATTCAATCAAGGGACCTGTTACAATATTCCAAAGGGCCACTTATTAGGTTAGTTTGAGGGTACACGAAGGCCCCCTCTAACAAAAGTATGTTCTCCTAGGAATCACAGGCTCCCTGCCCCCTGAATGATCTCTTGTCACCCAGGCACATCCAATAAGTATCCCACTTTTAAAGTTGCTGGAGTTTGTGGCGAGAATCCTCACCTCCAGTCACTGTGATCGAATAAGAAAGTAGTAGTATTCCTTAATAGGTGCCATCCTAATATAAATATATATATAGTACTTTCCTATAAGAAATCGATATTACACAAGGGGCACCTTCTCCACAGTGAACTGGTAAGAGGTCCTATAGATGCAAAGCAAATTGTCATCTGGTAGAGTGAATAATGTGGTCAGCTTCATAAAATCAAAGTTGGAGCAGAGTTTCCATTATTCACTTATTTCTACTTATTTGCTCTGACAGTTGTATTTAATTCTACTACATTTGTATTGTTTTTAGCTTGGATAGATAAAAAAAATTGTGTGTGTCTTATTACAAGATACAAGGCTCTGGGCTCCTGGGAATGTTGTAATCAACCACAATGATGGTGAGAGCATGGTAATTCAGAAAGGAACTGCATGGCTCAGTAAGGAGTAATCTTATCTATCTTACTCTGCAGAGCACAGGGATTGCTTTTAACATGGTAGGATGCTTTCAGAATGACTGTATTTATATCATCCAATCAAGGGTACTGGTCTTTACTAAGCGGTGCATTCTAGTGTGTGTTAGTTTTGTGGGAAAAAAAGGATCAAACATGTGGCCTGATCTATTAAAAGCATATCTAAGGTAGAATGTATTGGCAACTATGGATGAGCTAACTAAGTCTAAACTTGAGCTTCTCTGAACCAGAAGGGACATGCCCTGCCCCATAGCTGTACATAAACAAAGGGGCAAGATGCTTGTGCTGACATCATTGAACTTATAAGGCCATATATATTGATCAAATATATCCATGTGGTTATATAAGTCAAAACACCCTGCCCCTTTGTTTACGCACAGTTGCAGAGAGGAAATTTCCCAGCTGCAGCTGATTAGGCAGTAGGAGCTTCTTTCTAGGTTTGGAATCAGTGTGCAATGATAACTTTCTTATTGGACTAACAAAATATATAAAAGACAAGCTTTCGAGAGTGAACCTCTCTTCTTCAGGTCAGAAGCAATACACATATACAATATAGTGTAATACAATATAGTGTATATACTGTATACTGTATATATTAGGAGAAGTGCAATACAATATAGTGTATATACTGTATACTGTATATATTAGGAGAAGTCTGAATATGTGCTTACAGGCAAACATTATTCTAGCTTGATGCAGACACGCACCAACTGCCTAAACTATTGATACCAAATATAGTTATGTCCTTCTAAATATATGTCCTTGAAATATATTACAACTTTTAAGAAAATAGTAAAATAGAAAAATTGCAGCTGATGAACCACACAAAAGGTATAGTAGTTATTTACAAGGAAACATCTATAGACTTGAGATAAGATGTTCAGTTATGTCTAGTACAACAACTTTTTGTTAGCTTATCACACAACAAATCTGCTCATATAACCTCTTTTCCTTAGTAATATGTAAAGAAATCTTAGAGATGCATTAGTAGAAAGCATAGCAGCTGCCCCCCAAAGTGTCAAGCCACTAACTAAACCACACTATGTGCCACACTTATTATGATGTAAACATGCAAGTATAATTTTTCAACTGCTAATTATATTTATGGCTATTTTCTTATCGCTAATGCACAGTGTACAAATTACCTCAAAGGGCTGCCAATAACTATTTTTTTTGCATTTGAAAGTGTTTTATTTTCAAACAGAAGCAGCAGTGCTCAAAAAGTTTGATTTAAACTTTTTTGGCAGCTTCTTTTGTTGTGCTTAAATCTTGAATAGCTTTAAAGTGAATTTATCATCATAATTTAGCATAATGATATTTTAGGCTTAAGTACCGCCTCAGGTACTGCAGAGTAGCTTGGTGTTTGATGAAGATGAGCATTTGCATACATTGGAGATTATTCTTTATTTTTTTAAATAGAAGTACAAATAGTCTGTAATACAGATGTTTCTCTTAGACCCATAGATTTTTGTTTACTTAGTATTCCCATTATAATATTGCATATTAAATGGCCAAGACAATTGAGTAATCCTGAACTGTTTAAATTTACTAAGGAAAATGAGGAACAGGAAATAATTACCACAGCAAAATGTAATATGTTGGTATTTTCCCATCCTTAATCGTGTTTATCTGGAGACAGACTAATGTATACACATTCATGCAGTCTCAGTCTCCCCAGGTGATGAGGAAGCATGGAGCCAACTTTCTGGACAATGAGAGAGTATGGGGGGTGGGTAATGACCAATCAGGAAGCCACGCAGCGAGTCATTACACACTGCCCTGGGAAGGCAGTCTGGGAAGCCGGCTCCATGCTCTCTCATCACTAAGTGATGAGGGAGCATGGACTCGGCTTCCCGACCAATCAGGAAACCGGGGGAGTCTTTACCCACCCCCTGGCTTCCTGTTTGTCTGGAAAGCAGGCTCTATGCTACCTGGTGACGAGGGAGCATGGAGCCGGCTTCTCGGCCAATCAGGAAGCCAGCGGCATGTAATGACTCTCTGCCTGGCTTTGTGATACCGGAAGTTCTGGTATTGGAGTAAGCATCGGGAGAATTTGGGCGAGTACGAGTACTCACCCAAATACTTGGTATCTGTGCATCCCTATATATTAGATCAGAGTAAAAGAGGACATTGCATTAAATTGCACAGGACTTAAATGTTTTCCTGTGTGATTTTTATCCTCCAGTTTTGCCACATTTCTGCCACAATGCCTGTGATGTTATCATCACCAGGGTCAGGGAGTAAGGTCAATATATTTTTGCTTTTTCTCTCCTAATGTGTGATTTATTTTTATTTTACATGTAATGCTGCACTTTTGCAGGGTGGGTGGTCTAAAAGTTCATGGGACCTTGCATTTTGATGCAAGGTTTACATTAAGAGTAAATCTTTTCAGCAACTGGGGTGAAAGCCAAGTTCCAACCAAAAAATATTGTTTTCATTTCGGATAGAATAGAAAAAGGTTAGAATCACTGTCTAGGTATTTATTGTGTCAAAGAACAAAAATATATAATAAATTGGAAGATAATACTTGTTCT